CCACAACCTTTTTCTCTCCTCTCCTCCCCACTCACCATTTCTCACTAATCTCATCTACTTCTCTCCACCTTTTTCATATCCTTCTCTCCCATTCTACCACCCTCTTCTCCTCCTTCCCTCCCCCAACTACAATCCCATCATCTCCCCCATCCCCCACCTTACCTTTTTCTTTCTCTTCTCACTTCTTTCTCCCCACACCCAACTCCGAATTTTTCTGTTTTTCCTTCTTTTCTCTTTCTCTTTGATGTAAAATTTTCTTTTCCTCCAAAAATCTGAATCATCTTATTCCCTACCTCTTTTCTTATTTTTTGATTTATTTATTTTATTTATTTTGAAAATTCAAAATTTTCTGCAGCACCTCTATATCTTGCTAGGACTTAGTCTTTCTTTGTTGTCGGCGCACATTTTGACCCCTTGGGGGTAACGAAGCGCTGGCCAAATTTTTCCATTCTACTTAGTCTTTTCCTTGACGGCACACTTCGACCACATGGGGGTAACGAAATGCTGCCGAAATTTTTAAAAAATTTTAAAACTTAGCTTCTCTTCACTCTCTTTCACCTCCTTATTTATTTATTTATTTACTCATTTATTTTTCTGAAAATTTTAATTTGCGGCATTGTGAAAGTTAGTCTATCCCTCTTGCACTTTCCTTCCTCTTGGCACATTTTTGACCCCATGCGGGGTGGGAAAATGCTGTCGAAAATTCCAAAGAAATGAATATTATCTCTCTCCTCACTCTTTACATTTTATTTATTTATTTCTTTATATTCTTTTATTTTATTTTTATCTCGAAAACTCACTGTTTATTCTGTTTTCTCCCCTCCATAGTCATTATTTTTTTTCTTGATTACGTCACCGCTACCTTCCCCTAACCACCTAAACTCCGATTAGGGTTTTCCTAGGGTTTTTCTAGGGTTTAGGGTTCTCCTAAACCCCCTACCCTCCCGCCTCCTCCCATGGGGCACCCTGGACCCGAACGGCTTCTCCCCCTTCGAGCGATTTGGCGCGTTCTTCTCACGCGCGACCCGCCAAATCCGGGATGAGCCGACTCACACATACTCACTCCGCTCCCGCGGTCCCCTTCCTCTTAYCGGCGGGCCCCTCTCCCCACACACCCCCGTGAGCTCTACCTCCCTTTCCCTTCCGACCATGGAAGGGAGTTCCTTTGAGGAGATCACCGCGGCGCCGTCCACCTCCCAGGTGAGCGTTCAGCCAGCGGGTCAGGGTCAGGCCCATGCGGACACGATGGACCTTTAGCGATCCAGGTGCAACTTAGTACGCTTGGACCGTTGCAAGCGCAAATCAATGCGCTTGCCCTTGACGTCAATTTCCTCAAGGGCTCTCCTCATCACTCTCCCCACCGCTCCCATACCCCATCCCCTACCGGCTCCGAGTCCGGCTCCCCACGACTCCAGAGTCGGAGACATCGTGGTTCCCCCTCCTCTGCGGGCCAGGCCCAACACTACCCCACTTTTATTATTTTATTTATTTTTGATTAAGTAGGAATTAAGGATGTTTCTTTTTTATTGGTACATTTGACCGAGTCGAGCGGGCGTGCGAGAGCGGCCCCGACAACGGCGTTGGCAACGACGACGCGGCTTCGTGCGGCAAGCGGGGTGTCGTAGGATGGCGCGCGGGGCAATTATGGCATAGTATAAGCAAACCGGCGCGGGCAAATGGGAGTCGAGCAGCCATTTTGTTGGCCTAAAGCGTCGCGCCGCACTGCCTATATGGTATTCTGCAGGATTCAGCCCCAGGCTTCGGCTTAGTCCTATAGGTTACAGCATCGGACTATTGATACGGAGGTTCTGGGGTCGAGGTCGGCGGGCGTCGGCACAACAACTGCAGCTGAGCGTGTGGAGAAAACCGAGGGGTTGAGGGTCGACGGGCTATCCCCCTCTGGTTTTTGTTGACAGACGTAGAGGCGGGGCCGATCCACAGGACCGGTGGGGCTTTGGCAGTCCCCGCACCGTGCATAGGGGCCCTTATTTATGATATTTTATGTCTTTTATTTTTGGTTTGTATTTATTTATCTATTTGTTTTTCCTTTATTGTTAATGCGCGGCCCCGTTTTGGCCCGGATCGCGGTACCATGGGTGTAGCAGGCACCAAAGAGCCTAGCTCACTGGGTGCACCGTTGAACTGTTGAAATACGGACCGCATTCAAACCCAGATGATGGGCTTTGATGAGTAGAAGCCGAATATTCCGAATTGACTGAGGGCCGAGAGCTACATCTTTATTAAGTGAAAAAAGGCCTGCTAGTACCAGGCTTGGGCTTAGCCCTATGGGTTAGATTATTGGACTGGTACGCAGCAGGCGCAGGGATCGAGGCCAACAGCATGCGGCTAAGGAACGAAGGAGTGCGACAGAAAGGCTTGAGGGGTTGATGAGCCTGTGGGACTATCCCCCTCGCCTTTTGTCAATGGATGTAATAATGGGCCCGACCCGCGGCACTAGCGAGGTGCCAGCAGCTCCCCTGTTCCTGTCTGAATATTTGTCTTGCTTTATTTATTTTATTTGTTCTTTTTTTTAGTTTTATTTTACTTCATTATTTTTTTTCCACGGCTATTGGCGGCCCCGTCCTATTTTGGGGCATGGTACCGTGTCATTGCCTGAGAAGCACTTAGAATCAAGGGGAAAAGGTGGAGCGACGAGCCGTCAGAGGTATTACACACTCCCTAGCGGATCTCGACTTCCATGATCGTCGTCCTGCTGTCTATATGAACCGGTGCCGGGGTGGTGTCTCGGCTAATGATGCGTTTTGACTCCTACCGAGCCCAGGCGGAAGAAGGAAAGGCTGGGGGTGATAGGGACGAAAGGCTGCCGAACCATCTGGTAGCTGGCCTGCCCGTAGTCTCTTTCGTGATAGCAGATCGGCTGAGCGCACCCTGGGAATCCCGAGCACTGTCGGACTAGGCGGAGCGCTACCTGGAGTAGCGCTAGTAGTCTCGGGAGCGCAGGGGAGAAGGCAAAACGACAGCGGCCGCGGGCGGAAAGACCACGAGTAGGGGCAACGGGCAAAACGAAAGAGAGTGAACCTAGGCGCGGAGACGTGCCAGGCGCATGCGAGCTGGAGGCGGAGCGGAGTGACGGGCGGTGCGGAGTAAGGCAAAAAAAAAAAAAAAAAAAAAAAAAAAAAAGATTGAATAAAGGCGCGAAGTTGCGCCGGATACATGCGACGAAAACGAGGAGAAGAGCAATGGCGGGGGAACGAAAGTGAGGAGGAGAGTTAGTCGAGCTCGGGCGTTTCCTAGCGAAAACGGATGGGGGGAGAGACGTTTCGGGGGTTTTGGGGTAAGGCGAGCGCGATGGCGAAGATAGTTTTAGTGTTAGTTTAGTGGATTGAGAGGTTAGTGGGAAAAACATTGCGCCGAGCTATGGAGGGAGGTGAAGGAGGGGGAGAGAACTTGACATAACTCGGCCTGTTCATAACCGATTTTCACACTTTAAAATGCTATACCGAGTTTTTTTGGGTAGGGCGATTT